TATTGGTCCCGACGCTCTCTTCCCCTCCCCCTCTCTCTCTCTCTCTCTCCACCTGCGCGTTACATTCCTGCCGTGCACACGCCTCTCTCCTCCAATCACCGCCCAGCACCAGCTCTACACAACCTATTCTAAAGGACAGGCTGCTGTGCAGCAGCTGTATTAGCCAATGGCACCAAACAGAAGAGCCAGTGTGGCACCGATTTTACATTTTAATATCTACTTTTTAGTTGAAAGGAGGACAATGTGGGGGAAAATAGTTTTGTATTCTAACTTATTACGAACACAGTGGATTTTTGTTACCCACGAATACTTGTGGGTCAAATTAAAGGCATAAAAATAAAGGCACCAGGCATTATCTGTGAAGGTAGAAATAACCAGTGGGAATTATGAGAGTAATGTAATCTATATGGCTATTCAAGTCTGTTTGGAACCATGACCATCAATTGTTTTTGGATATTAGCGTAACAAATGGGCACCTGCAGTTTCTTTTACATTCAAAGTTCCCTTCAAGAGGCAGTTTTATATCAAAGCTATATTTTGAAAATTGCATAATTTTTTATGCTTTTTAAAAACAATCCTCATGTGATGAAAATCACATCAGTCATTTCTTCAGCTCAGACCTTCATTTCTTCTTCTCCACCACCTTCCTCAGTTCTTTCCAACCTGTCAGTTATTTTCTTCAGACTCTTTATATGCTCGTCTTGCTTGTCACTTTGACTCATATCTGTTTCTGTAGCCAACGGCATCACAGAGGTAAACCTCATCACCAGCTGCATGTTAGAACACCTCCAGAGAAAGGTTCACACCAGCTATCATTTTTAACCATGGCCTCCATGATGTGTAACCATTTCATCCTCCAGGCGTTTCCATTGTCTCTCATTAAAGTCCACGTCGGATGACGTCGAAGGAGCTTTGTTCTACCTCTGTAGTTGATCGTGCGATGTGTGCAACAACAACACACTGGTTTCCTTCGACAGTGCTTGTCCCGTAGAACCAGTGGAAGAGATGGCCGAGCAAGGTGAACTCTCTGTGAACCCAGAGCGCTGTCTCCACCTCAGTCTGTCACAGTTCCCTCAAGACGGAGACAATGCCTCAGAGTGGTAAACTTCCAACGGCTGACCTTGAACTTCTATAAAGAGCAGCTCAGATGTACCGGGGGAACGGGACGGTGTGTGTTTCTCCACTTAGTCTGCTGCTCAGTTAACAATCACTGTTTTTTCCACAATTTCTGTTTTGTTCTCAGGGGTCATGTAACCAGTGTAAATATTATTCTGTCAGACCACTTAACCGCTGCACAGGATGTGATGCTGCAGTCATTTGAAGCCTACTACAGATACCACCAGGATAATTTACAGTACGCAAATGTTGACTTGCAGGCAACACGAGCCTGCGGTATCATAAATATCCAGGAACATCACGTGGGTGGCAACAGCCACAGTGTCTGCATGTTACACTGAGAGTGTGTTGTGGTTTTTCAACTCCACTGCACAAGATCATTTTTAAAGTTCAAATGTCAAAAAACGTTTGATGAACTAGCCATTAGCCTGTGGACTGTCGTAACAGTATCCTATGTCATGGCAGGTCTCACTGGCTGTTGCTTTGATCAAAGTACAGTCAAGTTTAGTGAATTGGCTCATCACTATAATTATATATAAACTGTAAAATCTATTCTTTTTAAATGATTTTTTGAAAGACCTGTAGTGTA